TCGCTTTTTGGGTGGGGTGGGCGCTTGTGCCTGGTTCGCCGCCACTCTTGATTGATTGGGTGGGAGCAGATGGTCCGCCCCTTTCCCTGCACAGGCCGTGCGCAGAGCGGGTTCCCGTTCACCGGCATCCGCGTCCGCTGCAAGTCGCTCTTTCGTCCACCCGGTGAAGCGGCAGGAGGTGGTCGCCGGGTCTAGAGGCACGCCTGTTGACTCTCCGCGTCTGCCCATCTGCAGGCTTGGGTGCTTCTGCCCCAGGGGCGCTCCTCGGCTGAAAAGCGGGGCGTGGGACGAAAGGCGGGGCATGGGACGCCAGGAAGGAGGCAGAGAGACCGCTTCGTGGGAGTGAGCGCAGGACGTGTACAGGAGGAGGAACTCGAGCGGGAAGGTCTCGGGGGCAGCCTGCTTCAGAAGATACATCACCTAATTTTTAAAACGAACGTTAACTGTGTGGTGGTGGTTGTGCTTACTCTGTCAGTAAGTCAGGCTTAGGCTTGGGGAACAGACAAACCATGCCAATGAAATGCTCCGGTGAATTGCCAGCTTCATAAAGAGAATACACCTTTTTCATTAATTTAGAAAAAAAAAATAGCCCAAACCAATAAAACCCCACAATTTTCGAGACTCAGTTTCTTAGGGGAGGAGTAGCTAGTAATACTGCTGTTCCTCTTCTACCAAATCAAAGGAATACAAAATTAACATAATACCCTCATTATCAGTAAACATTCACTAGAATATTAACCATTTTTCTGACTTGCACTCCTCTTTCTGGTATAACTCTAACATATATTTCTGCATGCAAAAGGCACGATTTTTAGGGAAAAATTTATGATTCTCACAGGCTGCAACATTGTGCATAGCAGGACAGGGTTGAATAATGTTTCTTACTGATGTGATTAACATAGTTATGCTATATGCAACCTCTTAGGATACAACCATACAAAATTCACTCAAACAATGAATCTTCTGTCTCCAAAAGCTTCACAATTTACAGACTAAACGAGTGTGCAAGAAACTATGTAGTAGGAATCTGAAATGGCGCTTGCTGACAGCGCACAAGTGATGAGCATCTCTAGTTTCTGCTCCTCTCAGTCTTAGACAACTGACTCTGGAGGCAGAGCTGCTTAGTTTTGACTGTGTGTACTCTCAGCTCCTACTTAAACCCAAGAGAGTTTGAAGAATCAGATGCAGATCTAGGTCCCAAACAAAAAAACAAGTGTCTGGCCCCTCACACCCAGCTGCAGAACACATTCCTCTTGCATATCTGGGGGTAGGGGGATGGGGAACGACAACTGCAAAATCTGAGACCAGAACTGGGACTTTCCTTACCAGCACAGGAGTAATCTTCAAGACTAGAGACTAATGCCTACTTCCCTTCTGAAGAACCAGAAGGTAGCATCATCCAGTTTACACTGCAGCCCAAAAGGCCTTGCCTTTCCCAAACACATTTGAACCCTCAGGCTCAAGAAGGCCTAAATGAACCAAGTTGTCCCACTTTCATCAGTACTTAGTTAATAAATTATTGTATAAAAATTGGGTACCATTCAAGCTTTAAAAATACATCAGAGGGAAATGCTTTCTAGCTGTTTGAAAAAACAGGAATGGGTGTCTGTCCTTCAGCGATGACTCCCTACTCTGGAAGCCAAAGGCATGCACACTGGCTGGAGACCGGCAGGATTTGAGACCTGGAGTTGGTGATTGCATTTCCTACTGAAATCTCATATGGGCCCTGATCAGCACCCCAGCTGTCTTGGATTCTGTGCTAAAGCAGCCCTCTGCATGCACTGCCAGGGAGCCGAAACTCAGCACTGAGGATTCCAAGATCGAGCATCTAAAATTTAGGACTTGCAATATATAGCTCAAGCCATGAATATCCTTTCTAGGATCTAATTTTAATCTGCCATGACAGTTGATAGCTACAGGGATTAAACAGTGGAAAGATAAAATACTTTGTTTTGAAAAGAAGACATGTATTTAATCTCGTAAGAAATAATTTGCAACTCATATCTAAGATAAAGTTTTAATTCTTTTAGCATTAACAATGCACCATACATGTCAGTATCCCCATAAAAGTATTCACAGAACAAAACTTACTGTCTTGGAATTGTACAGCAGGGAGCCAATTAAAACCTGCCCCAAAGGTTTGGGTGTTTGAAAATCCTACAGATCAGATCAGTCACAAAGAAAAAATCGCAAGCTTATTTTCTGTTAGTAGTGAACATAATACAAAACAGTACTTTCAAAGGTAACATTAATTTAAACACCTTTAACTCTTCATTCACAGGTCTGTTTCATGCACCAATTCCTTAATAAACTCAAACGGTAGAAATGCAACTTGCCTACAAATAGCTTGGTCCTTTGATTTCTATACATGCATGACCCAAACAATCTGCATAACCATGAAAAATAACATACTGGTTAATTCTACACACACTGGAGTCATGCCCTGTCACCACTCGCAGCAGCTCAGAGAATGGCATGTATCTTTTTGCCTAGTTCTGGACCAGGTAACTGGTGCTATTATTGGAGAAACATTAACCTTGAGTTGTTAAAAACAAACAACAATAATTATGAAAAAAAAAAAACAGCAGAAAATGTTTTTAGGCATGTATTTCAATAAGTAATGGAAATGGAAGAAAACAGAGTACAGTACAATCACACTAGGTAACATTTTGGCCTCAAAAAAAAAATTATTTGAGGACTAAGAATTTGGCTAGTGAGTGACAAGATTTTTTTCCCCTCTAAACAGCCTAGGCCACCTATATTAAAATATATCCATAGATACATTGAATAATAAGTATATTAGGCTACTTTGGAGAACAAATCAGTAAAGTGTTTTGATCATTAGACTACAAGACATTTCAGCTAATCCTCAAATTAGTAGGTTTCTGACATTCAGAATAATGATCAAGTGAAAAGAACATGAAATGAATTAAGTTATCTTAGTAAAAGTATACTCAAAAATCTATGATTTTCAAATGAAACGCCATACCTTGACAGATTAATATACACTCCATTCTTTAAAGTAATACAGTTTGTAAACACAGATAACAATGTTTATGTATTAACTATATTAATAATGAGCCTTAGATTTATATAAACAGTACTTATTGAAGATCCATTCCTTTATTAAAATGCAGCTGACAGTCTCAGGAACTTATAATGTTTCAGGTGAAGTAATTTTATCCCCTCAGTGTTCAAAGTACTTGGTGGTTGTCATACACATTTCAATTTTCTGAATGAATATATTTTCATGCATCTTCTAGATAGCTATCATCTATCCATTAATTTCTTATTGGTGAGACATGAACAAGTTGTTGAAAAAAGTGCCTTTTTTCTTTTTTTAAATCAGAGATTTGTGCTTCTCCCTCCACCCCCCAAATTCTGAATCCCAAATAACTTACTGTAAAAATACAAATTCTGTTTTGGAAGAAAACATATAAAATATACATCATGTAGTGTGTGCACCTAAGTATCTTGATTGTCAGGCAGTGCAAGTTTCCACTTTGACATACACACTTTTTTGGTTTTAGATACAAGAGGTTTTTTTACTGATCTTTGATGATCCCATTTCTTGCCATCTTTGGTAGTCTTTGTCCCTTTGTGTAAGCGTGGTACCAGAAGTGGAGAAACAAGACTAAAAACATAGACCCATACAGCCAAATAATAAACATGAAAATTGGATACTGGTATGGACAATCATCCATGATGTAGATCTGTCCTATGTGGCCTGTAACCATAATAAACTGGACCTGGAGGAAAAAAGTGAAGAAAATTTATACTCTTAAAATGAGTGACAAACTTAATACAGAAGTTTAATAAGATTCAGCATAATTTGCACACAGAAAAAACAGAAAGTTGGAGGGAGAGCTTTTTAAAAGAACGGAGATGCTGTTTTAACAACATGTTAAAACATGATGTTGTTAAAATAACAGAGCCTCTCTTGCAAAATGTTACTCCACTGAGATACAGTTTCACAGACTAAAAGAAAAGTCCTGGAACAAGCTGAATTACAAGCAGCACTGAGAAACCCATACTGAGAGAATGGGAGTGTGCCATGGCCACTTCAGGGAAAAAAGGAAGATGTAGACAGTGTTTTACCAGTGACAAATGGGAGGCTCCTTTAGAAAAATAAGCCAGAAAAAAAACAAAAAAGCAACCATTACAGGATTGATGAATGTGACATAGAGATCTGCAGGTGCCCAAAAAACAATTTAATGGAAGATTTAAAAAAAACCAAACAAACAACTTTCAGATGAACTCCAAGTTAATAATCAATCGGTTGTGCCTCCAAGACAAAAAGACTAAGTTATAAACATTCAAGCTAAATTGTTCAGAGTTACAGAACGGTTCCAGTAACACCAGACCTGATACAAGCAGCCAGCTATGGCTGCTTCTTCCTGCTCCTTTCCCTCCTCCATTCAGCATCCTTGCTCAGACCAAACTAATTGTTGAGTTAGAAGCTGAATTTTGAAAATTGGGCTATTAAAAAAACAGACATGAAAACGCACCGGGAGCGGTAACCTTTTGGAAGTGATCTAGTGCTGATAAAACACTTAATGTAATTACTCAAAAGTGATTTATAATGCTCTGAGTTAGAGAAAGGTAAATTCTCTAAACGCAAACATTTGCTGTGAAAGAAATGTGAAATTCTAAAGAAATACTTATTTTTCCCATTCCTCATTATTAGTCACATGTATTCAGGACATTGGGTTTTTTTGTGTAAATTTATATTCTAATTTTTTTTTTTTACACAGGCAATGAGTTTTGTAAATATATTTACCAAGTGCTGCAGAACTGAAAAGCTCATGTGTCTGAATCTGTGATTACAGTGAATGCTGAAATCCACAGATTTAAATATATAACTTAGAGAAGATCATAACTTTTTTTACTCAATTAAGACGTAAGTATACCTTGTACCAACTGTAAGCTACATACATGAATGTAACTAAAAGTACAAATGTATTACATTTAGTCTGTGTTAGCCACAATGATTTCTGAGAGGTGTTTACATAATTTTCATTACTTACAAGCTGTATAGTTGTCATGTATTTTTTCCACCACAAATACTTATAATAGGCTGGTCCCAAAGAACAGATTCCATAATAAGTGTACATGACAACATGCACAATACAGTTCAGCAAAGCATGAAATGTTCCTAAACCACCTGTAGTAAAACACGACAAAGTAGTATTATATTGCACCAAGTATTTCAAAAGCCACCTCAGGTCCTAGTAGTTTATTTTGAGTTGGGGTAGAAAAAACCACATACCATATAACCTATGCACTGTGATTAACCCTCAAAGTATTTAATCTGAATTGTGTTGATATAAATTCTGAGGCATCTCACCAGTTTCCCTTCTTAGAAAAGCTTTATCTACGCATTTCCAAAACAGCAATAAAACCTAGTTGATCTAATTATCTATAAAAGGTTTTAGTGGAACTTTTTGTTCTTTGGATTGTTCAGTTTTTTAGAAGTATTATTTATTAAAACATGTGTGATGGAGATGCAGAGAATTTAGTTGAAACAGTGTTCCTCTTGTTTTACGTATGTTTTTCCAAATTTCATTATAAACTTTGCAAAGCTCTGGAGATCAAGTAATAATTATCTCCCCAACATAGATTTCCAGACTCACAGAGAAAGAATCAGTTTTAGACAGTAAGTTGTTGGAATCATGACCTAAGTGAGGGTATCTCAAATCCATTGTTCATATCTAAAGCATACTTAGAGTAAAAAAAAAAAAAAAATAAATAAGGCCAAATAACCCTATCTGGGGCAAATTCATGACTGAAATTGGCAAGATATGAACATTTCACAAAACAATTAAGGAAATAATTCCTTTTCCATTGTATCAACTATGGAGCTAGATGATCCTCCTCAAAGTAATTTTATTTCAATGAACACAAAAAATTATAGGTAAATACAATGCAAGAAGTGGCAGACAGCAAAATAATTTTAAGAGAAATATCAACATGAAAATACTGAGCATAAGAAAACACAATGACATAAAAGCAGACATTTAGTGAGGAAAAAAAAGCCAGTTTTCCATTTAGAGTCATTCAAGTTAAAAATAAAACTTTTGTGATTTTAGTAGCTTGCACTAATATTCTAGCTTGATAGATCATAACTCCTCCAGCTGTGACTGCAAACTTTATTTGAAACTTAGGTGTTTGTATTCTTAAAAATAATTTCAGTGTTCTAACAGTTCAAATATACATACTTTTTTTGGCTTGCACAGTGAATATTCAGAAGAAAAAGTAAATAGTTAAAGCAGAGAAAAAAGAAAACACAACCTAATCAACAATATAAAGATATGCTCCAAAAAGCAACATAATACATAAGCACCATTTTACAATTCCATATTTATATCATAGCAGAGAAAAAAAAATCAGCATCTCCATTCAAACCCATTGTTTTTTTACCAACAGGTTGAAAACTTGATTAATGCTACTATTTAGAAGGATAAACAGTAATGAAACTAAATACAAGATAATCATCAGCAGGACTGAAATATTTGGGAAAAAAATTAAGTTATCAAACAGAATAATATTTGGAAAGATTAGTATAAAGACAAGCAATAGAGTTGTAGGAATAAACACAGCTCTGCATGAATATGAAGGACTATTATTAGCAGAGTACAAAACAGTTCTTGCACACTTTGCTGAAAGTATTTGTCAAATTATCACATGGGAAGTTTGAATCTGTTACAGAATCAGAAGCTTGTACCTGTTATACTGATCTCATGTCCAGATAAAAGGCAGAAAGTTAGTTACCTATAAATGGAAACTTAAAGGTTGAAGAGGAAGGACTGTTAGTCACTGTGGGGGGGTTGTTCGTTTATTATTGTTGTGGTTGGTTGATTTTGGTTTTTTCCTAATCTATAAACACACTGAATTGTATGCTGAGAAAACTATTCACAATTTCATAATTAAAGTATCAGTTATTCGGCTAGACTTGAGAAATGCATGATCCAGACATCAGCTTCCTAATAACAAAAACTCAACAAATACAGAAGTATATAATTTTATACACTAGGAAAATCTGCACACTGGACAAGTTCAAATGATCCTATCTACAGATCTTCTGGAATGCTTCCACGTCTTATTTTTGTATTCACAAAACAAGCACTAACAGATCAGATTTAATAAGCAATGGTTTCTTTTATCAATTTGTCACTGATTTTCTGGGAGAAAAAAACATGTCAGAGAACATGAGTGAAGAAACATGCACAAAAACCTCCTTTGTTTCTTGGTAGAAACTCCTAAAAAAAACCCCCACACCTTCCTAGATATGGACTATTAAATGCTGTGTGTTTCTCTACTCTGCTTATCAGGCTATTCTCATCGCAAGCTATATTTATTAGTAGTGTACGCTAATAATATAGCATAGGAAGATGCATGCATAGACACAGAGAGCAGGAAAGGAGAAAGTGAAGGTAAGCTAGAAGTGGACAAAGACTTGTAATTCAGTACAATTTAAATAAGTTTCTGTAGTAAGGTCCAGAAAATATTTCTGTAGTTTTATGAAAGCCTAAGTATTATATGTAAATAAATCCCAGTTATGCTACCACAAGTCAGTAAAAATAACTGCAACAAAGTCTGAATAATTTCATAAACAGGCAAAAAATTAAGAATACAGTCCTTTCCTCCAATTCAGTTCTTACATTTCAGGGGGACAAGTGGCTTTAAGCAGTTTCAACAGAGTTATCTGTCACATACATCTCCTCTAGCAATTCTGATTTTGCAGTCACATCTATTTTTCATGTAATAATGGTCTTTGCTTATATACAGGTCTCTCTTCTGCACCTTCTCCCCCTACAGAAAACCAACACTACAAAAACCACTGTCAAATAGGAATAAATGAGTGGGGCATATAATTTAAAAACTATGGTGATCTCAGTTGTTCCATGAAATACCGCAGACTTCTAAATTTAAAAACATCTATGCTTGCAAAATTTTAAATTATGTTTAAATATTTCTGTCTGGCATAGTTAATTTTTACTATCAGAAGGCATGTACTCCCTTTCCACTACCTGCAGCAAATTTGACTCCAAACCACCAGGTCCATGGCATGATGGAATGATGAAAGACATGCAGGAATGTAACTTGGTTGTTTTTCTTACGGAGCACAAAAAATATCTGAAACAGATTTTTAATGAACAAAATGTTACAGGAGATAATTAAGTCAAATATACTTACAGAAAACCGCATGCATCAGTGCTGGTTGCTCACTACTATACATTGAAAAATTCTTCACAGTTGCCATCTTTGGAGAAGAAGGGAAGCTGAGACTCTGCATATGCAGACTAATTTTAAAAACAAAACAAAACAAAACAAAAAACCCAACTTAAACCAGTATGTAAAATCCAACTGCGGACTCTTAAAAGCCAGGGCAAACTTTGAAAGCAAATGTCCAAGGTTGAGCCACCACCTATGTGTGCAACAGACATCGTAAGATGGACTTGCTTGGACTGAGGTGTATCTAGAAGCATCAGATTTTAAGTCCTCTGAACTACTAAGGCATGGCTATTTGAGAAAATTAACTGTAGGACTAGCAACAGATAGAGACAATAGAAATTAAAGTAGAGAAATAGCACTTTATTATGAACACTGACCTAACTACCTTTGGAAAAGGCAAAATTGGACACAATACATCTAGGCATTCTTAATCAATATTGATGGGACACATTTTAAAGGACAGACATGAAGGGAAGTGGAAGACAGAACAAAAAAACTGTGTAAGGAGAAGTCACGTCATGCGAAGTATCAGATGGCAAGCAAAGTAACACAGCAGAAAAGAAGTCTGGTGTGCCAGGGAAAATATTTGGCAACAGCTGACTTAAGTATAGGTAAGAAATTACTTTTGTAATAAAACCTAAAAGCTGCTGAGGTACCTGACTGGTTGGATTCAATTTTTTATTTTTTATTTTTTTTTTTTACACAAAAAAAATTTTTAGGCCCAGGACTAATTAAAAAGCAACAGTCTAACCAGTGGGTAGTAAATGTAAACAGAGGAGTGAACTTTTCAGGCATTTCCAGTTTTAGCATTCCCGGCCCTTCCATTACCACTCCATTTAGCTCAATCAGTAAGATCACAGAATCACAGAACGTTAGGGGATTGG